TTGTTCCAGCCCCCCCCTCCCCCCGCCCAGTAAAGACTCCCGACTGCCTGGAGAACACATAAAATTTCAGATGCATGAAAGAGTTTTCAGCCACAGAACTGTCTTGGTGTTCTTGAAACAAAATTCATTTATCTGACAGGAAGGCCAGACACCACATAGATTAATTTTTATTTTCCTTCCTATACTTTCTCAAAATAGAAGAATGATAATCTCTCTGAACCACTGTAATATACAATGAGTTGTTTTGTTAGTGACCAAATTAGATGGATTTATCTTATACGAAGAACCTTCTAAACTGGACTGCCCTTTCTCATGTTATCAAAAATTCACTTTTGGTAGTATTACAGGAGGTCCTCCCCTTCATGTATTCATGATATTCCACCTAGGCACAAGAAGACAATAAACCATAATGGATCTAAGGAGACGTTCTTATATTAAAGAACTTGAAGCTGGAAGCACGCAGTTCTTGTACCTTTTGCAGAAAATAAATTTATTTCCTCAAAATACCGAGATAACACATCACTTTTACACCAATTTAACATGTTCTAATAACTACCTTCATTCTTTATTTTTGAAGTTCTTAGTTCTGATTTTCAAATGTCTATGTTAAGTTTGATTGCTTTTTCTCAACAGGCCTCAAGTTTCTTTCTTAAAAGGTTAAAAAAAATTAAAGAACACTAATACATTGACTTTTAAGGGTTTGGGATGATTTATGCCCTCAGAATTGAATCTTAAACATGATAGTACCAATTAAAAAGTTTACCAAGTGGCAGGTGCAGCCTAAAATACAGGTTATGATTAAAGGCATAAGTCAAACTCTGCAATCAGATGCGAACTGAAAAATAGGAGTAGAAGAAAGAGTAGATAATTTTAACATCTGATAAATCTACCCTGAAGAAACACTCAACACAAAGCAGGACAGGAAGGCTTCCAGAAAAGCACAGTCATCTCTTTCGGTAATAGATGACAAATCAAAGTAAATCAGGCTGGGTTACAGATTCACAGTGCTAATAAGGAATAAGCCTAGAAAAATAATTAGTGCAGTGCAAGAAGCTGAGTATTTCTGAACAAAAAAGCATTATTTAAATGGTTACATTTCCTCAGGCACTGAATTCCAAAGACGTAAACAGATAGTTTAAGAAAACCTACCTCAGGCTGTATAGCTTTAAATACTGGCATATCCATTAATGTAATCTGGCTCTGCAATAAAGATAAAATTTGAAAAAATGTAATATGAAGAGCTAACAATCATGTATTTTCATCTGCCCTTTAGTAACTACAAACCGCAGAGTCACGTTTTCTCCATAGACCAGAAGTGACCAGTCCTGAATTGGGCTTCCCCTATCCAGTTTGGCACACCACAAGCAGAAACTCCACCATCCTGAGTGGTAACATGTCATGATACTCTCTTACATTTTACCAGCTGTAACTAAGTGAAGGTTTTCAGTACTTGCAGCAGCCTAAGAGGAAAAACCTGTGTTTGAGAGTCTTAATGTTTGGGCCTTTTATTGGCGTAACAGAAACAGTAGGAAGAATTACTTACCTTTTACACAGAAAGCAGCATTTATTTTATATTCACTAGGTTGAAATGCAATAAAGCATTATGATGTGTTAATTAGTTACGATTGGAATATGCTTTAAAGGGGTCATAGACAGATTTTCAGTCACTGATGACTATGCCCTGCTAAGACATTGTAACACGGTTTCAAAGACAATGATTTTGAAAAAAAGCATTTGTAGAACACTTTTAGTATCTGAGTGATAAGGTACTTGAATTGCTTCAGTGATCGGATGACATTATATATTTCTAAGTTACGTCAATTATGCTTAACCAATAGGTACTTCAGTTATACTGTGAATGTATAAACCTACAGAGCTTTGAACTTTGTAATTTACATGATTTAATGTGTAAAAGCATTCTTTTGACACTTTCTTCTTTGGATCTTTCCCCAGCAAAGCTCTTCTGCTGGCCATTTTGTTATGCTAAACCCAAAATAGCAAAAACTTGCTAATCCTCTCTCTCAAAGTGCTCACTTGATTACACCAATTAAGAATCATAGAATCGTTTGGGTTGTAAGGGACTTTCAAAAGTCATCTAGTCTGACCCCCCTGCAGTGAGCAGGGACACCTTCAACCGGTGGTTGCACAGAACCCTGTCAACCTGACCTTGAATGTTTCCAGCGATGGGGTGTCTACCACCTCTCTGGGCAACCTGTTCCAGTGTTTTACCACCCTCACTTTTTCTTCACTCAAGAAGAAAAAATTCTTCCTTATACCTAGACAAAATCTGCCATCTGTTAGTTTAAAACCATTACCCCTTGTCCTATCTATTTTAATATAATTTTAATAAGGTTTCTACTATTAGTATGATTCCTCAGACATGAGCTTAGAAAAGTTAGACACCCATAAAATTTGACAGACATGAAAAAAATTTCCTTCCATAAATGGTTAATTTACACTCTCTGACTCTCTCTTGCTTTTATATTATGCTAATTTAAAGATTTTGCCACAAAGCCCTAGCTGAACACTCTTAGCAGCACTCAATTTTGCTATTTATAATTCTGCATAATGTTTGGGTATTTACAAACTCAGATGTTCACTAAGATCTCATCCTGCTCCTAGAAAAACTAGAGTCACAAATGCCTTTTTGCAACTTCTTGACTGTCTTGTAATAAGATGCACAGCAGAGCCTCCCAAAAGCTGACTAGAAGCCATATTAAGTGACACTAATAAAGAACTTTTCAGCAAGAATTAGTAACTGTTTCAACAATACACAGGTTCAATAAAAATCACCAAAAAGGTTAAAATAAAATTCAGCAGTATTGGCAAGCTGCTGGTCTTTTCCTTCTACATGTGATTACCACCAGGTAAGTTCTCCTCTGCTGCTTCTGAATTTTATAAAGGAATACAACACACTACGTTTGGAAGTGACCTTAACTTGGCTCCATTCCCCTTCTCTAAACATTTATATTCAATACAGCAATCCCATCTTCTATAGATCTCTGCCCTAATGTCCAGTAACCAAATTGTACTGACTACAGTAAAACCAAACCTGTGGCTTTTTCATTCTCCCCAAGTGAACTGTTTCAACTACAGTCTTCAGTAACGAGGAATGGTATGTAAAATTTACTAGTTGCTATTATTTACCAGAAAAAGAAATTACCTGCTTCTCTGGACAGAACAGAAGCAGTAAACATTACTTGAGCTGTTAAAAAAAGAGCATCAGGGTAAACCAGTGAAAAGGTTTTAATGTGGCACAAGGAGAATAGCTACTGTAGCTAAGAAAGCCTTGGTGTTAAAAGTTTGTGTGACCATATTAAAATCAACACCAACAAACAAACCAACTCCAAACAGCCCTACCACTAGGGTTTACATATGTTCTTTTACAAGCCTCACTGTCAGTCCTACAGATATGCATTTCAATTTTTTGTTTCTTTGGGGATTGGTGGGTGTTTTGTTTATTTGGTTGGTTGGTTCATGGCTACGGGTGGAACTGGAAAGAGAAAAGCAACTTATGGAAGTTTGGACTTCAGAGTTGAAAGATATGTTACAATGACATAAGGGTGTGTGTGCGTGCACATATATGTGCGTTTTTGAAGTGCACCATTAAATCAAGACCCTCATCCACAACTTCGGTATCAAACCAACAGCAGTAGGAATTATGAACATAAGAGAAAACTGACGAGTTGTAAGTTACAAGCAACCTTACCTTGACTTGATCATTTTATGTTTCAGTTTTTATCGTTTATCGGTTCTGAGATCACCACAAATTCCTTTCTGCTGGTGCAGACTACACACTATGTTCTGGGCTCTCTTTGGACTTAATATTCAGTCTCCTCTGATGAATTAGACATCTCTATTTTTGTGTGATTTTACAGGCCTGTCTAAATTGTGGCCCTGTTCATTTCTGAAGGTAGTCCTTGGCCATGGATCATCTGAACTTGGATGAATAAAAGCAAAAGCATCAAGGCCATTTTTTAACTGAGCTGATGCAGATTTGCCAACCAAGTATTTTTATATTTTCACCTAACAGCTCTCATTTGTATACTCTGTATTAGTGTTAAAAAAGACTAATCAGAATTTGTTCCAAAGTTACAAACTTAAAGGAACAATGTAGGCATACCTCCAGGACTTTTTTTGTGAATGGGTATTGAACGGTCTTACACCAAATGAGGAAAACATAATTTTGATGCCCAGAATATTAATGAAAACATTGAACTAGGTTCAATAGCTTTCAACCTCACTCCTTCGTGTTCCCCAGCACATAAAGATATAAATTAAAAACAAGGGACCAAGCACAAGAACTGGACTGGACTTCTGCCAAAACTGCAGTTCTGCTTTCTTTTTAGTACCGAAAATCTGTTATTAAGGAATGCAAATTGCTTCCTCTCTACAAGCTTCTTTCCTGCTTTTAAGAAACTGATTTTTCTGAGAAACTGATGTTTTAGCAGAGAAGATGAGTATATGTGGCTTCAATATAAAAAAATTAATCCAACTGTGGATAGCTAACATCTTGAAACCTATGCTAGGGTCTTCTAAAACACTAGAAAATTTCCAATGGCTTTACACAGAAAAACAAATATGCTGTGTCAAGTCAGTACTGAATGATGAAATCCCAAGACATGTTTATTTTGTTAAAGTTTATATAATCAGAAATTTGTTTTCAAGAACATTGGAAGTTCATTTAAAATATTTTAAGAAAAAAGTTTTACGTATTATTTAATGTCCTGCAAGCCCTGAATATTATGCACGCTTAAATGCAAAAATAACATTTCTACTTACAGCAAACTCCTCAGGAGTTACTTTCAACACATCAAATACAACTGCATCGTAGCTTTTATTGGCATAATCTGAACTTCGCCCTTCCAGAGAATCTGAGCTGCTACTACCCTACAAAGAAAAAACAGTAGGCTTATCTGCAGAATGATGAATTTCACGTCAAATTCAGGAAATAAGTATATGCAAAAATATTAAGAAATTATAAGAAAATGTATGAACTTCAAAAAGCTTCAGACACTGAATTATAAAATTTAGTTTAGCACTGTTCAGGAATGTTTCCAACTAACTTGCTTCTACAAAAGCTATAGTGACATACAATTTTAGCTCTATGAAATTTCCAGCTCTAGAAAGCAATTTTTAAAATTATAGACTAGATAAAAGAGCTGTCCCACATCAGGAAATGTGTCTGGATTTTGAAGATTCTTATTCAATGGAAATTTTTCAATCAGATATGCAAGGTAAAGAGTGGGCAGATCCAAATCACGTTACTCTATCCATAACATAACAAAATAAAAAAGGAAAAACTGACATGTCCTGAAATTTAACCCAATGTTAGCTCCAAGGTACTGTGGAATAATACTGTGTCTTGCCTAAAAAATTAGTGCCTTGCCTTCCTTCTGAAGTTTCTGTCCTTGGGCTCGGATGCAGGCACTTGTGGCTTATTTTCCTTTCTTCAGGAATAATGTGATTAACAGCATTATTTTTTCTACCTCTTATCTTAAAATGACATTCTGAATAAAAATATATGCATGTAAAATCTTAAGCCCTTACCTCACTGAGGTTATTTGTTTGCTAGAAGAACACTTGTCAAAACAAGACGTTTTGGCATCTTAACTAACTGTGACATGTAATTCTCAGTTAAAACTGACTTAGCAGCAAAGAACTAGAAGGTGGTAAATGAGATGCTGATTCCACACACACTCCCCACCTCTGCAAAGTATCTGGGGAACTACCAATTAGGAAGCCTGACATTTGTCCTGGGCAAACCCAAGAAGAGAATAAAGGGGAATTAGTAGAAACACAGGTAAGTATGCTGTATCAGGAAATTGCCAAGTTACTATCTACAAGGAGAAGCACTGCCTCAGTATCTACAGACATGTGGGTAAAGGAACATGATTAACACAGTCTTGCTGGACTTCCAAAAGATTTTTGACAGGGTTTCTCACTCCAAAGACATTAAGGAAACTATGCAGCCCTATCATAGAGACTATGCTTGCAATGCTAAATAAGTAGTTACAAGACAGTAGTTACAAGCACTGAGAATATGTGAATCAGCAAAGAATTGTGCATGGATAAGTGATGATTATTGTATGTTCAACAACCTGGAAAAGACTGAGCAATAAGGTGACCATTGGTTGACAACTATGGATCTTCATTTTATTTATTCAATGTGGTAAAAAAACAAAACCTGGCAATGGAAAACTGAGAAGGGATTTCACAAGATTTGGTAAGTCTGGAAAAGGAAAAGATAAAAATACATAACAAAGTATAAATACGCTCCTTTATAAATCCATGGTGCACCCAAACTTGGAATACATATGCAGTATTAGACTCCATCTTAGAAGGTATATCAATGAACTGGAAAAGTTTCAGAACAAGACAACAAGGATGATCACAGATATGGAATGGCTTCTTTACAAAGGAAGACTGGCTATGCTAGACATCTTCAACCTGGAAGAGAGGCAGTGGGTTGTGGGGAGGAAGTACAATAATCAACCAAGTGAGCAAGAGGAAAGATGGGAACGTTCTCTCTTTGCCTCATCTAATACCAGGGAAAGGGGCTATCAGTTAAAATTAGAGATGGGTTTTAAATGAATGAAAGGATACAGGTCTTCACACAGCATCCAGTTAAGCTGAAAACCAGCTTGTTACGGGATTCTGTATAAAGTAAAAGATTACACAGATTCCAACAGGGGACTAGGTAAATTTATGGAAGACAAATACATTGCGAGATAGCTAACAGGACCTTCTCCTTAGGAGAAGAGCAAACATCTGTGGCTACAATGGTACCAGAGGGATGTTTCCTGTGTTTGCACTGGTCTTACGCTCTTCTTCAGGCATTTGCTGTTGGCCAATATCAGAGGCAGAATAATGGATTAGAAGAATCTTTGGTTTGATCCTGGAGACTTCTTATTCTCTGATCTATGACAGGTATTTCTGTTCTGAGAAAATGGTATGTGAAAGTCGTCTTTAATTATTTTGAAGAGGAATTTCAAAATTGTGTGTTTGCATACCCAGTTCAAAATGTCCCTCATCCTGAATGAAAAACTTATTTTTGTTAGGCTGAGGGTATTTATGCTATGTTTGAGAAAATGATCTTCTGCACGGCACAGCTATATTGCATTTTTTTTTTTGTTATAAGATTTTTAAAGATCAGCTCACAGATGATTTGTTTCATGAAAATCAGGACAACTACTTTGATAGGATCAAGTTATGTGTGCAAAAAGCACCACTACAACGGAAAAAACTTGCTTCACACAGCTCTTCAGCTGTCTCAAGAGATGAAGAAGTGGAATTTTTCACCCAGGGGAGGATTTCATCAAAATGTTACCTTTTTAAAAAGCAAAAAGTACCTTCAATCATACATTTAAACCGTGTGCTTTACTGGTCAAGCTTTACTGTAGCTGATTTGTAATATTTTGTCATAATATTACATGAATGCAAAAAAACCCAGAAAAACTCAGTAAGTTAGCTAATTCCCAAACAGTCCTCAGTTGGCTGTACTGGACCTACAAACACAGGCTGTTAGCTGTGCACAGCAGCTCAACACAGAACAAGGCAGTTTTTCAAAACAGCATGACAGAGCTGCCTGGTCTCCAAAGGGTTAAAATTAACAGAAATCTTATAGAGCACTTTCTTACTAATAGACTAGTAAATTCCAAAAAAATTCAACTGGATTATGACTGGCTCCATTTAGATGGTATGTTACATTGCTCTTAACTCATTAATAATAAACAGCTGCTCTAAGTTATGGAGTTACAGGTCAAAAATGCTATTTAGAAATAATCTAAATGAGTAACCATCATCAGCAACAACACAAAACTAGGCTGTGAAAACTCAGAACCATATAGTGTTCTAAAATTACTCTGTTGTCAAATACTACACCATTTGTAAGAAGGACTGACATGACTGGTAGTGGAAAGGGCTTCTGCAAAAGTTGAAACAAGCTAAAATTTCCATTTTGATACAGGAGCTAACAAAAAACAGGGAACTGTACCTCTGGAGTGGCGGAGGTGACCATAACATTGGCCATGAGGTCATTCCTTTTATACATGCTCTCCTCAAGACACAGGAAGTTTCAGCTCATCCAGCACTGCTGAGACAGCATTATGAAAACAGAATTCCTGCAAAGCAAATGTTTTTGTGCAAATAAATAAATTTAAAAAGAAAAAACAACAATACAAGAGATTTCATTGTTCTTTCTCAGAGAAAAGAACTTCAGAAACAAAGTGATCTTAGAAGGTAGATTCTGTTTTCTCTTTCAGCTACCAAGTGTGAAGGAGTACAACTGAGTATCACTAAAGCCATGCCAAGTCCTTATCCCCAATTCCAATCGACTCAAGAAGGGGGGGGGGGGAGTGTATTATTTGTCATTTATGATGAATTACATTTTATATGAAGTCCATGCTATGCAGTATTCATCCAGAAACTGTGGGTTACGATAACGTATATTAAAATAAGAAATCCTAGCTATTAACTGACTGAAAAAACGGTGCTTCCTCACTTTTCCCTGCTCATCACTTAAATCACCAGTTATGAGACTAATTCAAGTCCCATTGTCTCTTTCCAACACGCAACTCCTATTTGCAGCTGCTTAGGCCTCCACTAATATCTATACAATCAGGTGAGCCTGAAAGTATTTTATGTCAGGCCCCAAATAACTAAAGTTTTCCAGAGAAGAGAACCAGCCAACATCATCCTTCTTAGTTGGAAGGATGAATCTCAAAAATCTTGGCTAATCCAGCAACAGCACTATCTGAAATGAGACTTTTTCCAAACTGGGTTAAGCAGACAGATGCAGTTCAAAATTGGTTTAGGACTTCACATATGTAATATACCTTAAGCTTCCTTCAGAAACCAAGAGATTGAACTGTAAAAAATCTGAGTATGTGGTACCCCAAAGAAGCTGCCTCTACCCACTTGGATCAAATAATCTGTCCCAGATTTACAAAGTGTTTAATGAAAACTAAAAATAAAATTAAAAAAAAATTTGCACTTCTGAAATAACAGTCATTGATCACAACAGTTAATATGCATATCTAAGAAAACCATTGATCTTGAAATAAAGCACAAATAATTACAAGACACCATATTCATGTGTATTCAACAAACTTAAGTATTAAGTATTTATAAATATTTATCTCTGGATATATGTTAACTATTATACTCTAAAGAATATGCACCATATGGACATAGGTGGATATATAATTCCACAAATCTAATTAAATTGCATCTCATTCAGAAAAAATAAAAATTGTACATAAATAGGCACAACTAAAATGAGAACAACTGACATGATTATAGACTTAATTCAGATACCAAGATTACTCATAGAAGAATTACACATGTATTTTTAAAGAAAATCACTTACCCAATGACAACAAATACTTCCAGGCACAAAAACATTCCTTTTGGTCAAAATTTTATGTAAAAGGAAGTGAAGGGAATCCTAAGCAATTTTGTTTTCAAATCTACACAGCAAAGAAAAATTTGACCGTAAGGCTGGCCAATTAAAAAAATTGCTCAGAAGGCTTTTCCATGTCACTTAAAAAATTGTCACCAATGGATATGATTGGTTCCTCCCTCACACTGGACCTCTGATGATTGCTGCAGAACTTAAGAATTAATTCATTGTTCCTCTAGAAGATACTGTCTGGGGACAAGCATTCTCTGTATCTGAAATGAAGTAAAATCCAAAACCAAAATTCAAATTCTACTCTCAAACACTGCAAAAACAGGCTTCACAGGCCATAATTTGGCATACTTTGGGCATCCATACTAACTACTAGCTTAACAGGTTAAAGCTTCCTTAATGGTCCAACGACAATTAGCACAATGACACAGTACCTGCCACAGTCCTTCAGTTAAACATTCAACATAACACGTTATGCTTTTATCTTAATAACTGAAAATTTTGTCAGCTAATACATTATAACGATATATTTGAAGTTCATTCACTCATGAATCAAAGTCCACATAGTCTCAAATCTAAGACTTAGTCGTAAATAATCTTATAGAAATACATTAACAAACTGTTAGAACTACAATGAAATGGCTGATTAAGCGAACAAAGGCACAGCCGTGAATGTTTACAAGCCTTACTGAGGTTACAGCATTCAACATGACCCACTGCTAACATCCTTTATAGAGAAGGTCTTAGTATGGGATCTGTCTCTCGCTTTGTCAGGTAAGCAATGCTTTGCAAGATTCAGATCCAATATCCAAATGGAACCTTAAATGAAAGCTTGTTAAGATGGGTATAAAAAAAAGCTAATGCAGTTCAGACCTGCAGGGTTGCACAGAAGAGACTGCTGCACCCAAAAACCTGTCTCATCACAAGAAAGAACTTCTTTTCTTTTTCACCCATGGGGTGAAAACTAACTGCCTGACTATTTCTAATTATTAAACCTAAGTAGGCTGCTAGGGACAGGTTAAAATACAGACACCATGTGGCCCTATGTCACTGTGCAAAGAACTGCCAATGTTGCAGAAAGTTTACACACAATTTAAACATGCTGCTAGGAGACAGCTAGTAAAAATTTTTCAGATATAGCATGCACATACTTACTAAAAGCAGAACTATTCATGTGTGTCTCTGCACATGTATAAGCATGTGCACACACAAAAACCAAGAACTGCTTACAGAATTATGAAGTCAGCTGAAGCTCTGATTCACTCTGAATGAAGAGAACAGTGTGGTTGTTTCATCGCTCCCCACAGCACACACAGATGAAGCCCATGGCAACCACTGCCACAGACTGCTTCACGTGTACTCTTTTAGCAAAATCTGCAGTTGCTCAAGGATGCAACTAGCGATACTGCCACAATCTCCCTTTGCGTCCTCACTCTTTCCCACAACACTGATTACAAAACCAGGAAAACGGTGGAAAAGCAAACAGATGAGAATAAAAATAACCTCTCATTTTACTTCCCTGAGAAAGATGAGGTCTTCACCCCACCTGTCATCCCTACGAGTCCTTACATGACAAACAACTCGCCCCACGATCTCACGGGCATCATGGAAAACAAATCAATAACTGTGTTTCAAATGATGGCAGAATCTCCTCAGTTAAACTAGTCAAGAAGCAATTTCCTTTATCTTGTGTCCTGATAAAGTTAGCTCATATTTTGAGCACTAACAGACTGCAAGCTATTTCTAGGTCTGGAGCTGCTCCTGTTAATAGTCCTTAGAGATACTGAAGTGGAAAGCAATTTTCATGAAGTCATTTCTTTAAAACGTGGCATTTACATCAAGGTCACAAAAATATTCTTGTCTCCTCCGCCTTTCTGACTAGGCTTTCCAGTGTGTGGGGGCTCAAAAATGCTCTGAAAGGGGAAAGAAAAATCCCATATGTGATCTTGTATCCTGTCCAAGCTCAGTTTTACTCCAAGTTTTAATGTTCATTAAACCAAAAAGAGACAAGAAGTGCTTTAATATCTGAAACCAAAAGCACTAACATACTTTTGCCTTTCAACATTCAGTACATAAGAAAAAGCTTGCAAGGTTAGATACTTTCATTCTAAAAAGAACCAAAATAGATTTTTTTTTCCCCCCTGAAGGTTTCAAACATAACACAAGCATTAAAAACGCATTGTTCTTCCTTGTGTGCACAGGTTTCTCCAAGACTCACATCTCCTATGAAAAAAAAGACTTCTCTACATTCTCATTTGTTTTGCTGCCTTGAGGAAAGTCAGAGAGCAATTATCTTTTAAAGACAAATCCAAAAAAGTTTTTATTCTTATGAAATCACCTTATAGTAATATACTATTATTACGAAATCTGAAGTGTTTCTACACCTGCTATCACAAAAAGGTATTACTCTGCAAATTAAGTAACACTGGAGCTACTACTAAGCCTACTGTAACAAAAGGTTGTCAAATGACATACAAAGACATTAAAAATAATGAATATAAAAGCTGCTCCCCCATACTTACAATATTTCACTCCAACAAGATTAAAAAGAAATTTCTGAAATGTTGAAAATTATCAAAGGTCCAGTATGTTGGCATTAAAAGGTAAAAAGTCACTAAAATTACATATAACTTCTTTTCATAGCTTTTGCTTCTTAAAAATTCTTTCAACTTGCTCAGGTTAATAATTAAAATGATGCATTATACAAACAGTGCTAAAAAAAAACAAAACAAAGAAAACCCCTTATCTGTTTGTACAGAAAGTTCATAGGTTCATTGCAGTAGATCTCATTCATAGATTGCCAGAAGCAAACTGGATACCAAAGCAAACATACATACCACCAGAGGTTTTGTGTTCTTCTTTGCCAACTTAACAAACCCATTTAGATGTGTAGTTCTCTCTGAAGCAAAAGTGAAGACAGTGCAAGAACAACTAAACTGGAAAAAACAAAACCAAAACCCAACACACCACCATCAAAACTGAGCACAAAAGTAACCCTTATAGCCATTATTTTACCAGCATTTGTTAAGTTTTGTCATCTACGACACAGAACTGACATTCTCTGAAAGCAGAAATGCAAACTTTACATTTCTGTTACTAATACGCATGTGATCCAGTTACAATAACCCGAAGTGCATTCTCATTACTGGTTATCCAAGTCACAAGAAAGCCACTAAAAGGCTCTTAAGCACAGATACCACCTCTGGCCAAGGAAGCCCCTGTGCCCTAATTTCTGAATGCTAGCAGAGCGATCTGGGGAAGTTACTAACTGTTCACACTGCTCTCAGCAAATATGAGAATAATGATGTAAGCAACCACTGATGACCATCGTTCTTACTGATTTTCTTGTTGGAGGAAAAAATATTCAGCTAGACAGGCTTTTGATCAGAGTTGGTACAGCCATTCTGGGCTCCAAAAGTTAACTGTCCTAGCTAATTTCAAATCCCATTTACCAACTGCTTTCATTAGTTCATTATGGGTTTCCCAATATCACCGAGTCTTGAGCTGACAGCTGTAGCATGCTTTTAAGAACATAACTGGTCTTTCTTAAGCTTAAGTTAGCTGCACAACTGGTTCAGAGAAGACAAAGAGCACTAGGGCCCTGTTTGGGCTCTTTCTAACAAATTTAGAATTGAATAGTT